ATTACTGTGTTCTAAACTCATATTTAACATCTGTATCGGGCAAACGTTGACTGACATACACTCACTAATATGAATAAAATAACTAGTAAGTTATAACTTAACAAACATAAACAAGTGTGTGAAAAGTGCGAATGTGAAACAACGTTGGGGTTTCCCTCATTTACCAAATAAAACACCAGCACTACAAGGAAATAAATAAATACATTGTTGCCGTAACGTATTAGTCCTGAACACCAAGTCAGAATTTTGTTAGTCATTTTTCTTCCACCTTTATTTTTAAGCAATAAATAAAAAAACAACATTTAAATTAGGTATATAAATTAATTCAAAATATATATCCGAATATTTGAACATTCCGATATTTAAGTATTCGAATAGTCAAATATTCGAGTATCGAATACCTAGTTCAATTAGTATATATAATATCGAGTATTCGAATATTGAGTATTCGATTATTCAACTATTCGACTATTCGAATATTAGACTTTTCGACTATTCGAATAATTTCGATCTAAAAATATCAAATTTTGAGTATTCGAATATTCGAATTATCGAATTATCCGAATACAATTCCGAGTCCTAGCATCAACGACTTCATTAATCGAATCAATTTGAATAGAATTTAATAGATTATTTTCTTGATTAATAATCATGAACTATTTGAATGTGTGTACAAATATTAGTTACGTTATGTTATTGATCTGTATACTTGGTTTTATTTTGCAATACCATTTGATGATATTTCAAAGAGGGACAAGTCAAATCCTGTGCAGAATGGTTGTAGTCGTACTCAGTTTTATATTTTTCGTTAGAAGTTTTACAGCTCTTACATTGTATTTTATTCTTTGAACACAAGCTACAGATGTGGCACACGATAGCATTCTTACAGTTTTCATTTTTATGGTAGAAACCTTGACATTTAAAACATCTGGGTATCTCCAAATCTTCATAAACCGGAAGTCTTTCCCATTCTATACATATTTTTTTTCCTTTGTATCAATTGTTTAAATTCACAGTATACAGTATTGAAGCCTTTTTTCGTTTTTCTAATATATGTGGTTTTTATTTCACCTGTTGTCATTCTGTTTCACAATGGACTTGTCAATTTCTTCCTTGGTCATATTCTCCATCTACATCATATGAATCTTTTAATTTATCTTGAATAGCTTTTTCCAGAATTTCAGCTTCTTTTTTTGTTTGACAGGAAAGTATAACGTAACCATTCTTTCCCATCTTTAATTGTTGTACTCCAACTTTTAAGTCCGTTGAATCAAAATGATGAAATTTTAGATTTTAAAGTGTGTTTTTTAAAATTACTTTTAATACTTGTAATGATTACATTATAATTTCAATTCAAATTTTTTTTACTCTTGGCGAATAATGGAACTTTATTTATTCGGACGTATCTAATTAATCAGGTAAAGTTAGGTTATTTTTATTTTTTTTATATTAAAGTATTTGTATTTTAATGAAAAAATGTCCACAGGGCAATAAATCAATCCTACATATTTTTGCGGCAAAAAAATTTGATATATTTATTGTTTTATCCTCTATAATCAAAAAAGTAAGAAATACAATAGCCCTTAACATTATTTTACTTTTTTTAATGTATATTTTAATTTAAATTTTCATTATTTATTATTTATTATTTATATATTCCTACTTTTATAGATACCCATTTTTTTTATTGAAAGAGTGCATTGAAGAGTAATTCATCTATATTAGTGGTTTTCCGGAACATCAATTTCCTATTTATTTAAACGTTTCAGGAATGCTAAGAGCAAATGTACGTCAATAAAAGATCCGTAATAAAATTTCTCTGTAGTTCGGGGTGTCATTCAAGAAAGTGTAAAAGCACTTAAACTAATTGATTGGATCAAAGGACACCGTGTTAAACACTGTTAACAGCTCTCAGGGTGAATATTGAAGCCACCTCAAACGGGTGTCGAACAATGATTGGCAAACGCCAATAGTCCAAATTAATATTAAACTATTCTGACGTTAATTTATGCATCCATGTATTTGCATTACATGCAAGGATGTTTAGATAAATTGCATATTTCAAATAAATAATACATATACTCAAGGATAATACTACAGGATGGGAGAATGTTCTAATAAAAACTTTCACCTCAGGTGGTATTTTGAAAGATTATTTAAGAATTTAATCAGAACTTTTTAGTACAATTTAACGTTTATTTTATTTGTTTACAAAATTATAACTATTAGTAGTTATTATAAACATTTGCTTTGTTTCCGTAAGATGAAGTCAAAAGTGATGTCGACTCTTTGTTTATTAAATTATTTATCTACCTATTGTGTTTTAGTTTGATTGAAATATATTTCCATATATAATCTTCTGGGACCTTCCAAATATCAGTACAAAATCTCCAATCTATGTTTTCCGATTTCACTTCGTACTCTTCTTCGAATTTAAATTAAAACAATATATATTTATATTTTATGTAACTTTTTCAATTCTTATCTCAAACATTTCCCAACTTTCTTTCAATAAATCCCTCCGACTGTTTATAAATGTTTCTGACTTCTCTTTCAAAATCGCAAAATCAATACCTAATCCCAGGCACAGATTACCCCAGATGCGAAAACCCGGCAAAATATCAAAGGATTTAGAAGTGAGAATTCTGTAAATGGGTATGGTATGTCATATGTGTTGCTAATTTTAATTGTTTTCAATTGTTCTGGCTAAACATTGTTTCTCTGCAAGATAACAATCCTATCTTGAGCAGCAAATACTTAGTTTAATGAAGTGGTATGTACACTTTTCCATGGTCTGCTTTAGAAACATTTTTTGTGGATCACTCCATAGTTTCGAAAAAAACAAGGAAGTTTTTTATTTAAAATATTACTATGGTCAATGATTTTTCTAAAAATATAAATTTTAAGGGACCTACAGACGCTCAGGCATGTATTAAGACATAAACGCACGTTGATTTACGCGCGGTGATGTTCACCAGTGTGTAGAAAAATCTTTTGCAAAAAGACCGACGCATACGTTTTCTATTCTCGTTTGAATTCAAGTTTGCACAGCTTTGTATGCGCAAACATGTATTCCTGTGTGTAGACAAAAACTTACACATTTTGAAAGACTTTGTAGTGATTTAGACATTCAAAAAACGTCCTGGATTATATTTCCATTAAAACCACATCCCCACTTTTTTTACAGAACTGCAACTCATCACACACTAGTTTATATTAATAATAATTTGTTTATTATTTTCGCAAACCGCTATACACCATTTATTTTATTTTTTAATTAAAGATCACTTGGCCTGAGCAGGCATCGAACTCACGACACATTCATTATCGCTTCATGCTTTCAATCGCTAGACGAGCTCGACCAAGGAACCACTTGAAAACTTTTTACTAGATATAGTTATAATAAAATAAGATTTCAAACTTCCGCTGATAGAATGAAATGTAGTAGATTCAATTTGTCAATTTTTAATGACCAATTATATCAAAAAAAAGGAAATGTATATAGATGGGAATTATCTGGTAGGCTTAATAAATAATAACCTAAGATTGACGTCCACTGGACGTCAAAATACTACTAAACTTAAAATTAAGTCTAAAAACAGACATTCTTTGAGTATCGATATTCAGCTGTCAAATTAATTAGCATAAACGGACGTACACTGGATGCCCGGATATGGACGTCCTGACCCTCAAATGGATCTAAAATGTACATCCATTGGACTGTGTGCTGTCTGGGCATAGACGAATTTTTAGAAATAGTACTTATTTAAGTATGTACTAATATTTCCAAAATCAACTTCAGTATGATTCATTCAATAAATATAAATATGAATGGCCAAAACATCTTTGCAACTTACAATTTAGCCATAATAAAGTGATTTCGCCCACTTTGACCAAACCTAATTGAAACACGCTGATTTATTATATTTTTTTAAATATAATTTCAAAATAAAATAAACAAAATCTGCAGTTCATTGTTTATTAAATTTATTTAAAAGAAGACAAACATATATTTCAGAAAATCCAATACCTACATATGAAAAATAAAATGTCAAAAATTTTTAAATCATTATACTTAATATTTATACAATTGATAAAATTCTTAGTTTCCTAATAACTTTTTTTTAGCACATTTTATATCTGTATTAGAATACCTAATTGTGTAAAAAATCTTCATCATTACTATACAAAACAAACACCAAAAAATATCACTTAACATTGCTCACGTACTAAACACAACGTGGACTGACTTTGACAGATAATATCATTTTGAGTGATACACAACTTATTTTCGCACATGCGCGTTACAAAACGGTAGGTACACTGAAAACACCAAGCTGTCGCTTCTCCTTGATCGGTATTCTCGGGTATTACTCAAAGTATTAGGCATTCCAACGACCTGTCCAAATGGCTACCAGTGGGTAATGACAGTTTAGATATGGCAACCCTGTTGTCATGCTGTCATTAACAGGGTCAATGATACATATATAGTTATATAGATTGCTCAAAGCTGGTCGTTTACGAGCGGCCATATTGCCTGGCAAATATTTATTAATTTGAATCGGTTTAGCAAAAATGTGTTTTAAAACCAATTTTTAGCCTTTAGATATTTAAAAAAAATAATTGCTTACATTTTTAGTTCAAGGCATAAGCTTATGTTTATTTTGAAAAATATGAATGATCAATCTATGTAACTATCTATTTTATTGACCTTGTCAAATCACCAGGCCTACAGGATTGCCATAATTTTGCCATATCATAACCCGTCAAAACCCACTGGTAGCCATTCAGTTTGGAATGCCTAATTACTATATGGTTGACAGAATATTGACTTATGTCAGATGGTGTCGATCGTTGTTGGTTGTCGGTTGTTCTAAGACATACATGGAAATATGTACGTTGATTAAAATTGAAATAAACTGATATAAAGAAGTTGGAAAGTATCATTTAAACTATAGACCATATAAATTATTTCTTTTTAGGTTAATATTTTAACTCACCTGCATTGTCTGTACTTGCTCGTCGTTCAACGGTAAGGGGTTCTTGAAAAGTAAGTGTCAGACTACCGCGAGGACTCTTTCTGTCACAATCTTCTATATTAGCTCGTGCCAAACTACCTCGAGGGCTACGGTTTTCAATATCAATTTCTGGTCCGATACTTCCCCTGGGGCTTCTGTCCTGCTCGCATCCATATTCTTCTCTTGGATGGGTCTTTTTGGACGTTTCAGAGGTTATGTGATGTCGATGACTGCGGATGGATGCTGGAAAGAAAACGGTTCTCAATTCTAAATATTTTCAAACCAAGCAAATTAAATACTTTAGAAAGTTCTTTTCTGTATACAAGTACGGAAATTTAAATTAGAGACGAGCGTAAGTGCGCCAGAAGCTGCTAGCTTTTCACACGTCCTTTTAATTGCACTGTACCTGTATAGTACTGATAAATGTAACAATTCGTTTTTAACTTACTTTCTTCTGGTCTCCAGTTTGAATTTTCTGGCAAAGTTCTTCGGGATGGACGAGAATTATCTGGAACCAAACTGTTTCTTGGACTACGATTGAACTCGGAGCTAACACTCAGTTTGGAATTGTAGACGTTATTTTCTGGCGTCAAACTGTGGCGAGGACTCCGGTTATGTTCCGGCACTAGACTATTTCTTGGACTACGATTATATTCTGGTACGGAGATACTATTTCTAGGACTCAAAGAGAAATCCGAACGATAATCATTCGGAACTAGACTATGTCTTGGACTTTTTTGAGTGTCTGGCACCAAACTGAAACAAAAAGTTTGGTTAAAGTAATACAAATGGAATTATCTGGTGTGAGGGGCTAAAAAAATTAAGTAAGAGGTTTCTAGTGTTTCCTGAAAACCTGCTAATTTTATTATCCGAGGTTTTGACTCTACGACGACGATATGGTGTTTTTTCGAACAACGATCCAAAAACCAGTCACTGGTACCAGGATTCTGCGCAGTATATAATTTGGGTTCTTTATGATCTACTGCGCAGAATCCTAGTGGACGTTGTTGAAACAAACCTATGGTATCAGCACCTGGACTAGAATACTTAAATTTACAATAAAAATGTGTTTCATGTTAAATTATATTGAAATAGCCTTGTTCTCAATGATCATAGGTAGTACCCCCCTTTTCCCGCTCTGTAGACACGTATTTTAAAGTCTAAATACCCTCAAAAGTATTTAGAAAGCTCCAAAATAACTGGTTCCAAAATAACTGGTTATCCCAGTCCTTCCCACCTCTGCTCTCGTCCCGTGGCAGTCAGACACACTCTTGCGTCATTCTTTCTTTTTTGTGCATGTGGTTACACGTAAATAATTTGCTTATCATTATTAATTATCAAAAAAGGGCTTGGAGGAAGACAATCAAACAGAGTTATGAGAAATATACTCGGAATAAAAATTGTAAGTTTAGACCTATCCAAGATATTAACCCTGTGGTTAGGGCTAAAATAAATTAACATAAGTTAAAATTAACTATTTTTCCACAATGGAACAAATTTAGGTTATAAACTACCATTTAAACGAACTTACCTGAAGTGAAGTTCGATCTCAATTATATGAAACGCCTTGTTCGAGATAATGAACCCACCTACACACCCATACCCAAGATCATCTCTACAAGATTCAAACACAATTACCTCTTTAAAAGAATGATGCAAGAGTGTGTCTGACTGCTACGGGACGAGAGCAGAGGTGGGAAGGACTGGGATAACCAGTTATTTTGGAACCAGTTACTTTGAAGCTATCTAAATACTTTTGAGGGTATTTAGACTTTAAAATACGTGGCCACAGATCGGGAAAAGGGGGTACTACCTATGATCATCTCGAACAAGGCGTTTCATATAATTGAGATCGAACTTCACTTCTGGTAAGTTCGTTTGATCTATCAATTTTATTATCACCCTCCCAAGATCCGTATCTGGGTACGCCACTGATCTTAATATATACAATACGTTTTTGTAGCCAGAACTAAGATCAAGTTTGAACCTGGTTAAATTTTATTAATACAACTCACCCTTAATACTATATAAAATATGGCAAAAGAACCCTTTAAATAAAGCGTCAACTTTACAACATACACTATAAATTCATTATAATTGTGATTTATTTACTTCGTCTGATTACAGAAACAATCTTGGAACCACATTAAAGATGATGTTGGCTGTCGTAAAATCTTTTAAGCGAGGCTTAAAAATCTATTTCCCAATTATGTAAAAGAGTCTTTCCACATTTAAAGGCTTAACAGTATTATTTCGTTTGCTACAATTTGGCATTCGCTCGCTTATCATTCCGCCTCTATAAAGCTCTAGAAAGAGTTTTAAGGTTGCTTGTCGGTTTTAAGTCGTTAATTCTGTTATCCCCCGAGAGAATGTTTTTTGCTAATTGACGTCCACGAAGGGAAAAGTTCCATATCTCGCAAATTGAGAGAATTTCCAGAGCGAATTAAGTGATCGAATAAAACTTAACGTTCCGTCACAAACAATATAACAACTGGAAACGGAATTAGGAAATTTGTGGTCGATATCCAACAGGCCGCTTGGAACCACACGATATAAATTAAAGAAAACACTATTGGTAATAAATATTTCCAAAAGAAACTCGAGAGTTAATTGCGAAAAAAAGAAAAGCCCGGGAAGGATGGCAGCAAACCAGAAGTCCTGAAAATAAAATATACATTAGACGCTTTTAGGGTTGAAAATTATTTTGTTGAGGAATACATAAAAAATCTTTGCTTTTTCAAGTCAACCAGCTGTTGGCCAGGATAGCCTAGTGGTGTCCTCAAAAAGTTCTACATTTATTTCAGTTTCATGGCACCTCCTCGACAATTTTAATATAAACCGTGAGCCCGGAGAATGATCATCAAAACCTGCGACTCCAGTTCAAAATGACGTTTCTGGCAACTCTAGACTCTCTTAACAACTTAATATAAAAATGCAGGAACTAAAAAGTGAATCATTTAATTCGTGTCTTTGTGAACTACAAAAAATGACTAGCTACTAGCTTTAGAAGGCAACAAAAAAGTTGAAAAGATTAGTAGAGGGGAAGTGGGCACGGAGACGGAGCCATCCCTCTTAGTATGACAGCCCACTGCAAATTTCGACCGTCATCTGATAACTAATTGAAATATGCTCCAAAGGCATGTAACAACATTGTACTTTACCAAATTGCACCTGTGCCAATCCCTATCCTGAGCTAAGTGGTTAAAAAAAATTATTTTATATTCAAAAAATCACATAAGACATGACAGCGACAATTGTGTTTTCCCTATATTTTCTATTCTACGTATATTTACCTATTCCTTGGACTCCTATCAAATTCTGGTGTTAAACCTGCGGGTCTAGAAGCTCTTTCGGATTTTCCTAACTCTCTTAAAGCTTGCGTTTCGGATATATCCGGTATCAACGAGTTTCTAGGGCTCCTGACGATGTCCGGTACCAAAGAGTTTCGCAGATGGTCTGGATCCGCGGGACTCACGGCGATACTAGCTCGTCTACCAGCTGGGGTTGTCGAAGTCAATCCACGAGTTTGGGGAGAGGAAGCGGCGCTCCTAGAAGCCCGTCTCCGACGCGATGACGTACTACGAGCTAACATCTTCGAGCCTGTTCAGGTACGTGGTAGGTTCATCTGCAAAAAAATTGGAATAAATATAGAGAACTTTGGAAGATGAAATCATCTTCTTATGCTTTTATTCTTTAAGTTAGTGTTAGGTAAAACTACATTTTACGGTTTAAATAAATTATTTCCAATTATCCTTTTTAATATCGAATAGCAAATTATCGAGACCCCTTGTATTTCTTGCCATCCTAGAATTTGCTTGAACTTAGAAATAAAAAAGACCATCCATTGTAGATATGACTTTAAAAAATGTGTCTCTACGCTTGGAAGTGATTATTTATATCCTCAATAAGTTAACATGCACGTCATGAGATCTCATAACATACACGTGCGTTTTGATAAGAAAACTTAAATTTCTTGGTTTAATCAAATTGCAATAAAATTTTTGTCTACGTACAACTTTATTTGGTCTATTTACATAAATTTAAAAAACTTTTAGCCCAAAAAACAAAACGTTGGAAATAAAAATAATCCATTTTATAGAGCATAGACAGTTGCTACAAAGAAGTGATTTCAGTTTTAATGAATAATTTAGTGATTCGGACTTTTTCCAATTTTCTCAAAAATTACCAAAAATTTAAAACTTTTAAAACACGTTTGGGCTTTTAACTTGATTTTCAAAAACTTTCCCTATTTAGCCGACTTTATATCTGTAATAATAACCGAAACCCCTGTACTGTGAGGTTGTTAATGGGACACACTGTATTAATACTGATATAAATTTTTAAAATGAAAGAGAACTGTCACTGGACAATGCTTTATATTTAGTTATTGTACATACTTTTATAAATTGCAAATAAAGTGGGTCATTATAACGCGGAGCGGTATTTTTCTCATTACAACCCCCCCTTTTTTTTATTGTAATGACAAGTTGAGTAAAAATAAAGCAATGGATGCATCTGGTGATTAAAATTACCATTTATTCAAGATGGAATCGGACGAAATCCTACTTTAGTCGGTAGTAAATTGAATTTATTGTTTAAAGAATGTTTCAAAAATAAACAAGAGTTGCTGGTCGACGGCATTTAACAAGGTTTACGGAAAACATTTCACAAACACAAACAAAAAGTAAAATTAATTTGTTTTTGTTTCAAAAGCTTTTACTCAAACCTTTTAGATTTGGTAGATTTATACTCGGAACCGATTTCATTTTATACACTCAAATTTTTGTAGAGGAATTTGGATTTAAAGTGTCAGTTAAATAAATTAAAATGGAATTTCATGCATTACGCATTTTTAATGAAAACGTCACAAATTGACGGAGGTCATAGAATAGGATGACAACAAAGGAACTGTCATTCGATGTCAATTTGAATAACAGTCTTTCTGTGGTCATTCGAATTATTAAAGCGTGATTTTGGAAGGGAAAGCAATTTAATTATTTAACATATTTAAAGCATACAGACGGTAAGGTCATAACTTTTATAAGGTATTCTATCGATTTCATCATTTTTTTCGGTAAAATATTTATTTTTCCGTGATTTGAGGAATTTCAACTTATTCAAAGCTTAGTTTTAAAATGATGTCAATATTCAAAGCATATATAGATGAATTATTAATAATAATAATAATATTAAGGTATCTATATAGCGTTTTGCAATTTGAACAAATACTGATTTAGGAAATAGAATTTTTTTTTTTTTCTAATGAAATACTTGAAATATTACATCGTTTTATATTATCAATACATCGTAGATGTGCTTTACCTAATAACCTTGTGAATTAGCAACTATTTTGGACCATTGTTTAATCGATATTTCTCTTATAAAGTAAGTTGCCATATTTTGCAAATATTTATGAATTAATTTTGACATTACCTTTCCAATTCACGAACCTATCAGTTTCATCAGATTGTCTTAAATCAAGGCATCCTATAATTAAAGAAAATCGTAAATTTTGTTGCGTGACTTCTAATATCTTACAGACATGAATACGAGAACTCGAGAACTACAGGTTTTATTGTTGTAAATTTTCCTTTATATGCAGGGAGGTGAGATGGGATGGAGATTAAATCACGTGATATGAGAGACATATGTTTATTTTGTAAAGATATATTATCTTATGAACAAACACAAGAAATATATGAATAGGTTTATAAAAAGTTAAAACTTTAAAAATTTTATCCAAATAAAAACGAATAAAAGAAAAAAGTTAGAGGAAAGGGTATAATTATGGGCTAAGCTTGGATTATGGGCTACGATAATATTTCCTGGTAGATGGTAGATGTTTCCTGAAAATACTGAGGGTGTTCTAAGAGGTGAGGGCAATGAATAAGAAATTTTAATTCCGTTGTAAATTACTGATTCTTTGGCCAAGGTAAATTTAGGTAGAATCAAAAATAAATATCCAAAAAATCTAGCAGATCTGTTATTATTTGCGAAACCATCTTTGTTTTATGTATTAAGTTTCTAAAATAAAAAGTGAAGTTGGCCATAAAATTTGATGAATTTCAAATAGTTGCCTCCAAAAGTCAGAATATTTTGTCAGACATAATAAACGAACAATCCGTTATTGAGGAACAAATATACTATGGAACAATTTTTTACTGCATACTTCCCAAAACTGTTCTTCTTAACTTCGTTTAGATTCAAGCGACCCAAAGTAAACATTCTTTGATGCTGCAAATTCTAATTTCCTCGTGGTAAATGAAATCGTCAAACAACCTGAGGCTAACTTTGTATTTAAACCATTCACGTGTCATTTAAAATTCATGTCAGTCTATTCTTAAACTTAAAAATGTTATGTTACATTGGTGATATATTTTAAAAAGCCTTCAATTTACTGATACTCAGTGTTAAAAAAGTTTAACTTTTAAAAAATCACATGATACCATATCAGGAAGTTTGCTTGAATCTTTAGTATGCCATGAGAGTTATATTATCAGCAAATAGCGTCAAGTCGGCTGAAATATCAAAAAATGCTTAGTCATTTACATAAATTATAAAAGTAACGGCACAAAAACTGACCCGTGAGGTAAACGTGAATTTGAAGCCGTTCTAACAAAATGTTTCCTTTAATATAAGTAGTCTACTCGTAGGCTTTATACTTAACATACAAGAAATGATTACTTTTGATTGTTTAATTTAACTTATTATATATTTTATAAGAGTTCCTTTGAAAATGTTTACCTCCAACTATACATAAGTAATTTGAACAGTTGAAATTAGAGAAATTCTATTTGGAAATTATATTTTATGTATACTTCATGTAAACTTATTATAGATTTATTATAGAAGGCCACTCTTAGAAGGTTTTTGGGGTTAATTTGGTTTCTATTAAAAATGTATGGCCTACCAAATAATGCATAAATTGGTGCCCTAAAATCCTTACCAATACCAGCTATTTCAGCGGAGACATGTGAGCTTCAACTTAGTATAAAACGTGAGTTTCTAATACCTACTCTTATACATAGAGTGCTTCTTTTTTGTGTTAGGCATACGACTAGTATACAAGTTAATAAAATGGCAACAGGGCAACAGCCAGTCGTCGATAAGAATTAGAAGATATGGTGGTCGGATATTAGTCGAACTGAGAGCATAGCAATATTAGTCCAGTAACTGAAGGATCAAACCTGTAGAAAATTCATTCAGCTCATTATCTACAAAAATGGCCAATATCATTTTCTTCGAAAATTTAATAGTTTTCGAGATAATGGCACTCAAAAGTCCCCTCATTTCAGCTGCTGCTCTACCTGCAGGAATTCCGCTTTCTATGAATTAACGTGTAAGCGTCCGGACGAATTGTTCCATATCTCGGGAAAAAATTGATATTTTTCGATGATTCAAAGTTCATCGCAATGAGAAAACTCGTAGCTACAATTCCATGTGACTTAAAGCCAGTTCGTATTTGCCAAAAATATTTAAAAAAGCGGTGAAAGTTTTTTCAACAATATTTAAAGACTGCTTCATTAATTTATTTATATTTTCTTTAAAAATAGTCATTTATTCTAATTTTGCCTTTATAATGGGACCTTGGGGGGTCTTGAATGATCTCAGAAATTTTTTTGTGATACTTTTCTTGCGTTTTAATACAAAATTGATTTGTTTATTTACATGTTTTAGCCGATTTCGGAGTTCCATAGAATCTTCGGAACAAGCGCGAATTATAATCTTATGATCCGTTATATTGATTTCTAATGTGCATCATTTTAAAGCTTAGATGGTCTATTTTTCGAATATATTTTTTTATTTTTAATAGAGTCTAATAATTTTCAAGAAATGAGGAAAATTGATCACACGAGTGAAAACCGGCCTTTTTTTTTAACCATTTCGTGTTCCCCGCTCTTTATTTTTTGAGGATTAGTAACTAGATCAAAGTAAAGCTTGTATTCTGATCTTTCCATTGATATAAGTCAATTCCCATATCCGTTTTTGGTTCTAAAAATTATATACTTCATTTTTACGCTCCCCCTCTGAGATCCATGATATTGTATATAACCTAACTTCGTGTACCCACGCGGCGATAGTTGTCTGCATCCTGTCTACATCCTGAAGCGTGTCCATCTAGCAGTGTCTAAATGTGACATTATTTCCATAATAATGAATGATACAATAATATTCATTATTATTGAATAATAAATGTCTATAATAAAGCAATAATAATTTTTTTAACTCACCATCGGACAGACAAACCATTGGATGTCTGTCATCTGCTACTATTATTGATTTTGTTTTATTGTGCTTTTTGATACGGGAGCGTTGCTTATTTGGAAATATTGAATCGGATCATTGGGCGTCGAGACGTAGAAACGTCGGTAGGTACGAAGAAAGGACGAGACGAAGTAGCGTCGGGACCTAGATATATTAGAACAGTGGTCGCCAACCTCTCAATGTGTTAAGCTACTTTGTTAATTTTGGAATAAACAGCGAGCTACCCACACGGAAGCCACGTAACGCAACGTAAATGAAATAATCCACAGTTAATTTATCATTATATGTATTTATTTTACTATTTAACTGGTAATACATAATACATAGGTACTAATAATAAACTAATAACAAAATAACTAATATTACTAGTACGTACTTGTTCATAGCTACATTTCTACCTACCAAACGAAGGTGTCACGTAAGATTTAAAATAGTTAATAATAACAACAAAAAAGTAACGCACTATCATGAACATAAACATTGAAAAATAAAAAGCACGTTCAATGAGAAGGCTGACACTCAGACTCATCCATAATTTTTTTAATGTTTGCAGTATAATTTGATACAGCCATTCGAACACAATTATCCAAATGTTCATCTGTAAGTCGATTGCGATATTTGTTCTTAATAAACTTCATATTGGAAAAAGAAGATTCGCACAAATAGGTTGAATTGAATAATGCTTTCACTTTCAAGGCAACACGGCATAGAACTGAATATTTGTCTTTACTTACAATAGGCCAGATACATTTGGTACTTGAGACTAACGATTTTAAGGCTAAATCATTTTGAAACTAAATTACTTCCATTTCTGTTGCAGCGATGTCTTCGCCAAAGTTCTGCATAACACAAGTTGCAAACTGTTGGATATCAATTTCCATAAAGGGTGAAACAACAAACTGCGCTACTAAAGCCATTTCGTTGAAATCCTTAAAACGATTTTTGAAGTTATTCTTCAGGGTAGAAACTATTTCTACATGATATTTGCTGTCATAGGGTTCTAATGGATTTTGAGATATTTTGTCTGAAAGAATAGGAAAATGCTTGGCATCGCTGTTAATTGGGTTTTGTTCCCAAAATTCCAGCTTTTTGATAAATGCTTTTATATCAGAAATCATTTCCGCTAGTTCTTTGTCCCTCCCCTGAAGCTGCAAATTAAGTTCGTTTAATTTCTCTGTAATGTCCACGAGAAAACCAAAATCTCTAAGCCAGATTGAATTTTCTAGTTCCGGAGTCGGCTCATCGCGTTGTTTGAAAAATTGAACTATGCCAGATAGGACATCATTAAAACGTTTCAGCACCCGTCCTCTACTTAACCATCGGACTTCAGAGTGAAGGATTAGGTCCCTGTATTGACAGTCAACTTCATCGGCCAAGGTTTTGAATAATCTTCTTTGTAACGCTTGAGCTCTAATCTTGTTCACAATTTTTACCACCAGTTTCATAACGTTGTTTAGTTTCAGGAAATTTCCACATAATGCTTGCTGATGGATAATGCAGTGGTAACAGAGAAATTGCGGAAAAGTTTCATCTTTACGACATAACGCCACCAGACTCTTATCACAACCCACCATAGCTGGAGCGCCATCGGTTGTCAAGCCTACCATTTTCGATATTGGAATTTTCTCGGAAGAAATAATATTTTTTAAATGAGAAAACAACTCCTGTCCAATAGTGTGTCCTTTCAGTGGAATAAACTTCAAAATATCTTCTTTAATCGTAAAATCACTAAAAACCATCCTGACGAACACGGCCATCTGGGCAGTGTCAACATCTGTTGATTCATCCAGTTGAAGTGAAAAATAAACACAGTTATCTAAGTCAGTTCTTAACTGTAAAAAAAATATAATTGCTCATTACTTCTACACGTCTCATCACTGTATTAGCAGAAAGTTGCATAGATTTTATAGCTGAAACTATCTCGTCTTTATTTCTAAAGTTGGCAAATAACGAATCAGCAGCTTCTAAAAACGCCTGTTTTATCATTTCCCCGTCTTTATAAGGTTTCTTTTTATGTGCAATTATCTGGGACACACGGTACGATGCTTCAGTTGCAGCCTTATTTTTGTCGACTGTTCTTAAAAATATTGATTGTTGTCCAATTAACTGCTTTTTTTTAACTCTTTCAGTTTCTCCTTTTTGGCGGCAGAATGTAGTGGGAATGATTTTTTAAAATTAAAATGTACAGTTTTATGATGTCTCTCAATATTTCCTTTTTTAGCAACGGAGACCGAAGTATTACATAACAAACACACATTTTTATCTTTAACTTC